TGGAGCTTTCCTAAAAATCTATCTGCTGAACTGTGCATTCTGGTCCTGCTGAATTGTCTGACACAACAAAAGTGCAGGAAGGCGAATGATGCTTTCACACAATGAGAAAAGTTTCCACTGAATTCACAATACTTTCCAACACTATCTGTCCCTACTTCTATCTCTCTCTGTTCATTGTGGCATTTTTGATGGATCATATTTTTTCTATCAGAAGTTATTCATCTTGTACTTTTTCATGCTGTTTTGGAATTGAAAAAAAATCCTGCATCTGAGAACAATTATTTCTCCTGCATGAATTAAATGCCTTCGACTTGTTCCAGACTTTTTTTTTTCCTATTCAGCAATGTTAAAAAAACAGTTAAAACTCCTGCATGTAAAATCCAACTTAAGTACTACTGAGGTATATAAAACTGAAGCAGCATGTTGCTGTTGTAGCTGCTGCAAGTTTAAATTATTCACTTTATATTCAATAATACAATCTGAACCACAAATCTGCTTTCAATTTTTGTTTCCTAATGTTTGATTTTTAGGACAATTTTGGATCATTTTAACATTTATTGAAACCGTGTGAGATGTTCAGGGATTTTTAAAAAAAACAAAATTGCTCATTGGTTTAGTTGTTTACCGACTCTGAAATGTGACCTCAGCTGCACTTTGTAAAATGCCAGAAGCGCAAAATGTTGAAAAGTGTTGCTTTAATCTTGAACAAAATGTAGTGAAATAGAAAGCACATTATTCCCCTCTGAAAAGGTGGTGGATTGGACGTCTAAAGTAGCAAAATGGAAATACTCAAGTACAGAGCAAGTATTTTAAAATTATACTTAAGTACAATACTTGAATAAATGGACTGGTCGCACATGAGTTTAATGCATGGTCATTTATCTGTCTACTGGTGTAATGAATTTAGAATTAGGGTTTATTTATCCACCTCTCTGTTAAATATGAAACTACAGCCAGCACTTGATTAGCTTTGCTTAGCATACAGACTGGAAAAAAAAAGTTGAGAATGATTCTGAGTAAAGGTCAATTAAATTAGCCTCCCAATACCTCACTAATAATCACATTACCACATCTTGTCAGGTCTCCAGGAAGTCACGCCACCGTGCCAAGAAATAGCCCATAACCCCAGGTAAACCACAAGTTGTACATTTTGATTTATGTGCAAGAAGTTTTTTGTTTTACCTTTAAACAGAGCAAGGCTAGTTGATTTCCCAGCAGTCTTTGTAGCTAAGCATCTACCTCCTGGCTGTGGCTAACTTGAAAAAAAATATTTTGTGGCCTGTGAAATCTGAAGACTCCTCTGTGCTTCAAACCTGTTTTTCACACTGCATGCATGACACAAACAGGACCGAACAGATCCAGCGTGTAAAGTGAGCGTGCACGTTGCTGACATATCTTAGCAAATAAACATCATCTGTAGGAATTTATCAGCCTGATGAACTGCGCTAAGTTGTGGCTGTGATATTGTGTGCAGCCTCATGTGGAGGAAAAGTGCAGAAGAACAGACAATTCTATCGTGATTAGCTGAAGTTAAACAAGTTAGCTTATCTCTATCTGAACAGTACACTTTAAAACTCTTTCTCTAAACTCTCTGAAAAAATCACATAGGAATTAAGTCAAATGAACTAATTTTTTCTAGTTTACTCAATTTAAATGTAGAATTTCTGTTAATTTCTAGTTAATTAAACTTAAAATATCCATGTTTTTACTTCACAAAACACTTTAAAATGTAAAAACATGAGTTATAACTGACAACTTAACGCATGCTTACCTAAAATGACGAGTTGAATTAATGAACAACAGAGAATTCACTAAACTCATGAAATGTTTAAGAAACAAAGCTAGCATAAAACTACAGACGATGCATTGTTTTAGATTCAAGACTCCCTAGAAACTCTCGTTTCTTTGTCGTATTTCGAGAACACAAACATAACTTGCTGTGTGTCTGTTGTACCTGTTAAATTAAGTTATGGTTGTTTCTTTTTACATTAATCAAGACAGTTGTAATCATGACTATAGCTAGTTGACTCAACTTAATATTTCAGTTATCTTGTTTTCTCAAGTTCAGTTATTTAACTCAGCTAGTTTTGAAATTTCACAACTCAGAAGACGATTTTGAATAATTAATTCATCTAAGTGCCATTATCTCCCATTTTTAAGGCAACGTTTAAACTTATGTTTCTAAGCTCAACGATTTACACAGTGTAGAAATCTATTGGTAAGTGTGATCACCCCACAGAATGACAAAATGTGTCTGGTTTTGTTGCTATAATATGGCACACGCTGCCTCGACAGACAGCCTGGAATGAATCTGTGACTTTAAAAAGCTATTTCCCCCCAGTGAGACAATGTTCAAATACTATAATTGACTGCTTTCCAGCGGAGTTGAGTCTTTGTCACACTGCGTGAACACTCCAGAGGTAGAAGACGAAATATGTGTCGGCTGATTCTGTGCTGCTCATTTTGATTCTATGAAGTTAAATCGTCAAGAGCCCCCAAACACTTTCAAATCGCTCCCTGCAATCTCTCTCACAAACGTGCTCCGAGGATCCAGCTAAACGCTCGCCGCATCCTCCGAGATGCAACAATGTGATGTGTCCTCGCTTTGTGCGTTTAGCAAAAACTCATCTGTGAGCTATTAATTAAGATGTAAGGCTAACGGAGGCCGCGGGCGAAACAGCGCAAGATTATGAAGATCCATGTGAGACACAGGAGGTGAGTGAACTCCACAGTGTTTACAGAAGGCTGGGCTCAGCTTGTACAGCATGTTTGAGACAAGCTGAAAAATGGGCTGCGGGAAAAATATTGTTTTTGCACAGGAGCCAAGAGGAAAGAACAAAGCAGGCAGATGAGGAAGTTGCTGGTGTATCTACCTCTGCCACACACACACATACAGACATATTCAAAGGAAGAAGCATGCTGCCAGAGTCCTTATCTCTCCCTGCTCTCCTCTCTGAGTTTCCCTTCGTGAGTTTCCCCTGGAGAATATGTGTGCGTTGAGTGTTAATGAAAGTCTACACGCATTATCTTTGCCGTGCTCCTCTTTCCAGCCTTTTGTAGCTCATATGCAACACAAAAATGAAGGAGATGTCATCTCAGCAACTCCAGTTACATATGAAAGTCATGTTCCTGTTCTCATTAGCTCAGTGCTGACTCACTGTCTGTGTCTTAATAGCAGCGAACTCCTTGGGGGACTTTGGGGAATGTTCAGGGCCAAAGGACACACACACACACACACACACACACACACACACACACACACACAAATGCAACAGCTACACGGACGAGGCTTAGCATCTACCTCAATTATCTTCCTCCTATATTTCCCAGAATGCAGCTTCAGCAGCATGTGGCTGTAGCTTACAGTAATTGGCATTGCCATGACCTGACACGGAGAACCTCTAAGAGATGCGCTGCCACACGCTGCCGGTGACAAATAATGAAGTGCAAATGGTGTGTGCAGCTCCATGGCGGTGGAACGAGCACCGCTGACCTTTGACCTTCTGAGACAATACGTGGCATTTGCTATTGATTGAGGCAATGAAAAAATCTATACACTCTAAAACATAAACGCAAATAAAAGAGGGATCGATGCTTCTTTAAGGCCTTCACTGTCAGTGTTTCAGATAATCTTTAAAACAATTTCAGGTGAAGGGTTGTATCTAATTTTACAACTGACTGAGGTCACGTGTGGCTTCATACTCGAGCCAAAAAAAAGTGATTATTGTTGACATGTTGGTGTTTAGGGGCTGCAGGGTGGCGCAGTTGGTAGCACTGTTGCCTCGCAGCAAGAAGGTTGCCGGTTCGCGTTCCGGAATCTTTCTGCGTGGAGTTTGCATGTTCTCCCCGTGCAGCGTGGGTTCTCTCCGGGTTCTCCGGCTTCCTCCCACACAGTCCAAAAACATGTTGAGGTTAATTGGTGATTCTAAATTGTTTGTAGGTGTGAATGTGAGTGTGCTTGGTTGTCTTTCTCTAAGTGTAGCCCTGTGATAGACTGGTGACCTGTCCAGGGTGTCCCCTGCCTTCGCCCTAAGTCGGCTGGGATAGACTCCAGCCCCTTATGACCCTAATGAGGATTAAGCAGTGTATAGATAATGGATGGATGGATGTTGGTGTTTACTCACAAAGCCGGCGCAGTGCTCGCAGAATGTGGGCTTGACGTAGGTGGTCTCAGTGAAAGTGTGGATGAAGCCCATCTTGCAGTTCAGCAGGGAGCTGGCCTTCATAAAGTAGTCTATCATTTCTTCTCTGCTGATCTGCCCGTCTCTGCGAGAGGAAGCAAAGTGAGGTGAGCTCCGCACAACACAGATTGGACGTTGGGTCGTATGGACTTGCATGAATAAATGTGCAGATGCTCACTGATTCTTGTCCAGTTCTCCAAACTTGCTGAGGTAAGGGAAGTTGTTCCTGATTGCTTCGAATTCATCCCTGGAGATGTGGCCGTCGCCATCTGCGTCGAAGTTCTTAAAGACTGACTGTAAGCAAGAAAGTTCTCAAATAGTCAGGCTCGGGGGGAAATTTTACTCATGCAAGCAAAAAGATTACACAATTTGCAATAACAATTTAATTGATACATCTGAAAATAATATCTCCTAAATTAGTCAGTCCTAATGAAGTTGATGTATCATTGAGTAATTTAACAAGTGATTTTTTTATACTTTTATACTGTGTAACTTTTGCTGATCAAATGAATCAGCTGCAGTAATAGCTGCAAAACACTGACACCATTCAGCTGTGTTTGTATCTGCTGATTTCTGACAGCAAGACCTGAAACGGCAGTGCGAAAATCTTTTTTTAAATGCGTCTGCAACGTGCCAAACTAGCAGTACAAGTCAGGAAACTGACTCTGTCATGTCAGTAACACATATCAATCTAAAGTTTGCTAAAATTAGCCACCTTTAGCTGCTAGTTGCACCAGAATGTAAGGCTGTAACAGCAAACTCTCCACCTCAAGTGTGCTGGACTTACATGATTTTTTTTTTGCTTATCAAGTGAATGTTTTGTTATATGATATATATTATTTCTCATGTTCTTTTTTTAAAAGTAACATAGTCTTGCAGGAAGGTCAATAATGCTTGAATTGCTCTTCATTATTTAATTAGTTTTCCTTACATCTGCAGCCATTGAAATCTTCCCATTGCTTTTAAAAGGATTTAAGCAGCAGTGAAACATTCTAAGCCACAAGGAAACATATAATCCTTCAGTTTTAGGAGGGGAAAAAAAGAAAACATGAAAAATCACCGAAGTGGAGTTAACATGTTTTTCAATTGACCTTCCCAGCTCGGATAATTATAGTGAAAGATCACGACGAGTCTCAGCTGTTCCTTCAGCGCTGGAAAGGACAGCAACAGATAATCACTCATCCTTATCCTCCCAGACCCTGAGGGAGGGCAACGCGAAGGAGCTGTGATACTCACCTCCACCATCTTCTCGATGTGTTTCTTGATGATGGTCGGGTCGGCGTTGGGCTTCACCGACACGGCCCACTCATCGATCATAGTGGGCTTGGGGTCAGGTGCGGGGGCAGGGCTGGAGTTCTGCTACAGCCAATGAGAAAGCAAAGACCGTGAAATCAATATTAAGCCGGTGAAGTCTTACACATAAAGAATTTGTTTTTAAAAATTGCGTCATTGGATCATAATGTCACAAAAGCAAAAGATTTCAGATATGCCCTTTGGGGCAGTTTAAAAATAATCTATAGAATCTAATAGAATACAGCCAATCTGTTATTAGATATTACAAACAATGCATCATGGGGGCATTGAATCTCCTGCAGCTTCATATTGCAGAATGCAAAATCAGAGCCATCCATCATATCAAGATTAGACAAGAATGATGTATGTTGCTGCCAAATATGAGATGTTATAGGAAAAGGCCAGTATGGGACAAACAGGATATGAAGATGGCTGTGACGCTTACAGCTGGTTTACGAGGCTCCCTCTGTAGAGACATCTGGTAGATCTCCTCCTCCGTGTGGTACTGGTCCAGAGATACCTGCACAGAAAACCAGCGTGGATGAGGCCTGTTGAAAACCTGCAGTCGCTGCAAGTCATCGAGATAAATTAGATATTCACCATTTAATCAATTTGTCTTTAAATGTGTGTATCTCAAAGGATGGCGTTTTTATTGTTACTGACTCTCTTTGGTGAAAATAACATGTCCATGTGGTGTTTTTTGTTGTTTTTTTTTAATGCTGGAAGATGTACCATAAACTTGGTTGAGGATTTTCACCTTCAATCTGGAACTAATCCTGTCTTTTTGCAGGGTGGTGCTTTCTGTATGATCATTCCTCCTCAAAGATCAAGTCATGAATAGCAGAATTACTCCAATGTCCTGAACTTTCCATTGTGTTGTATAGAGTTCTTTTACAGAGTTTGTGGGTGAGCTGGTGTGCTCGAGCTGCAGCAAGCGGGAGGAGATAAGTGGGACAGCATAGAGGTGAAACCATTTTAAGGCCGGAAGGGATTATTTTAATGAAAAAAAAACCAACTGTGATGAGTGTTTTGGGGTTTAATCGATGACTAGAGAGGGATTTTAAACATCGAGTGAACACCGTTTCAACTTCAATCTATGTAGAGGGCAAAAACTAACTGCATGCTTTGTTTTTCTTTTTTAATAGTATTAATTTGCTGATTAATAAGCATTATGTTGGGGAAGTTGTCTGTCCAGATACACACCAGCTGCTGCTACACTCAGAAGTCTTTAAACTATCCCTCTGAAAACAGATCTATAGGCCACTTATTGCCTGTATTTATACTGTAAAAAGTTGGATTTAATGACTGTTTCCTGTGTAATATAACACTGCATCCTTGAACAGAGGCCAAGGTTGCGATCTCTCAGTCATCACTTGACACTTACTGCTGGTCACATGGTGTCATATGAACCAGCTCCATAACTGTTAGATGTAGTTAAAGGCTCAGGGAGTCAACAACAGTCCCAGAATCACTCAGTTTGTATGGTGTTTTCAAAGTTTAAGAATTAATACATGTATTTTAACCCCCGCATTAATCTCAAACCTCAAAATAAATACATTCTTGCACAGATTAAAGCTCATGGTACCATTTTAGGATTGTAGTCCAACTGTAAATGCTGCCGAAATAGACCCAATGTGACTAAATAAGGCTGCTGGCAACTATTCATTTGTCTGCACAGTTTGCTCACCCACATCAGAGTATTATTCTTTTTTTTTTTTGTCAGTGTCATTTTTCAGGAGTGAGCGCCACAAATGAAAATCTGTTCAGCTGAGTTGTAACAAAACGACGGAACAAATCAAGACACATATTTCAAAATCTGGCCAAATGAAACCAAAACCAGCCATTTATCCATCAGCTGTACCTGCTTCATTCGGTAAAGAGTCGGGGAGGGAGGGGGCTGGAGCCAATTCCAGCTGCACCACTGAACCACCAAGCCAAACTAATTGCATGGGAAACTACCACTATTTTAAAAGTTTCAGCACCGAGTATCAAAACGGCACTAAAAACTATTGGACAATTAACCATCCTGCACTGCTTAACCCTAAAGGCTTATGGACACCATATGACTCCAAACACAACATCATTATGTTTTACGGTGCGCTGATTGTTGTGAGACATCTCTTACAGCCACTATGGCAACAGGTGAGAGCTCACCGTCTATTTTTTGCACCAGTTAACACATTACAGCCGACTGCCACTCGCGATCATCTGCTGCATCCATTGTTTGGCCTCAAATAGTTTTCCTCCGAGCTATTCTCTTAGCCTAATTGTGTTTCCTGCGTTTTATTGAGTTGAAGTGGTAAATGCGGAAGGACAAAAGGCTTTTCTTCTTGTTTAGCCCTGTGATTTAGCGAGGCTCACACTATTTCAAGGCAAAAGGTTGCCTTTAAATTGTCCGCCACATTCAGGGTCATTAAATAGAAGCTTTTCCGTTAGAAACGCTAATGAGTATGAATTAAAGAGCAGCAAAATTACAAGGTAAACCGGTGTGGTTTACTTGTTTTAGCTCTCCGCACAGGCCTACCTTTCCCTTTTCCATTATTTTGAAGGATTTATTGACTTTCTTTCCCTCTAATCGCCGCCAGCCAAGCAGGATTTAAGCTAGATCAGCATCAATAATCACGAGCATAAGATAATTGGGTATTGACTCCGTCTAGCGAACTTTCCCGGTGCTTCTCAGCTACGAAACCTGTCAAGGAGTTTTCTTTCTTTTCCACAAAAAAAAAAAAAAGGGAAACCAGGTGCAATCTAACACCAACACCTGCAGCAAGACTGAGTAATTGATCTCTTGGGATTGTTTAAACTGGGAAAGCTCTCCTTCTCAAATTCAGCAAACTCTTATCTGCATCTGCCAAAAATACTGACGCGTACACACATGGGGGTTGTGTGATGGTTGCGTTAAATACCACTTTTCAAGCCTGCATGAAAGTATAAAGTGTTTTGTTTGGGGTTTTTTTATCTTAAGTTTAGGATTTGCTATTGTCTATGCCTTTTATTTAAGATGAGTTGAAGCAAAAACGCTGCTTTTTGCATCCAAATTCCATACAGTCACATTTTGAGTGGAATATTCTCGTATTTCATAACATGTTTGAGCTGATTATTTACTGATGGAGGCTTTCGGTTCTCCCTGTTGGTATTTGGGGATTGACAGGAGGGGAGTGGACGACTGTACAATGTTTTTTTCATTCAAGGAATATATCTTCACATAATTACTGTTCTGATGACCAGTTTCACATTTGCATTTTAATCATAAGAAATGTTAAAATCCATTACACTTTGAAAACTAGGTACTTCACAAGTAAGAGTGATAAGAAAACACAGAAAACTGAACTATTAGTCAGGTAATGTGATCTCGTAGGTAAAAGGCTTTTTCCTGCAGAGCTCTGTTTCTACCGAGATCAGGCGATTTCAAAGCCAGAGCTCCCTGACAGGCAAAGCTCTTTGGTCTTTAATCACAATGAAGGTTTCAGTGCAGGTGAACAATTTAAAGTTCAGGGGAAGAGATGTCGAAACAGGGGTTATGACTCTTTACCCTGGAAGGCATCACACCACATTAATGAAGCAATGGCTACTAGATAACAGCGTTAGAATATTGAAACCAAAAACATAAAAGCAGTCTTTAATCCTCTCTGTATCCCTGAATGTTGCTGCTCATCCATTGTACGCTAGCTTTTCTTTCATTTAAAGGGGCACCTAATCCAATATGGGACGTTCATTTCATTTGAAGTATAAACCTGAGGAAACTGTTGCCTAATTTCTACCATGGATAGCTCGGGAGGGTGATTTATTTTGCAATACATACATAAAATAATAAAATATCATACATCAACTGTGCCGATGTTTGTGTCCAATATCCACACCACTCATTGGCGTTTTAGGATCCCTATAATTGGAAACACTGCTGGCCTCAATTTAGTTTAAAATTATACAGCCACAAGCAATTCCTGATGGAGTTTCTACGTGTCCTTCCCTGATTTTTCATCCCGTGACACTATTTTAGAAGAAAAAAAACATTGCTGTCCATTTAATTCTGCATTCTATCTTGCCGCTACTACCTACATGTACAAAATGCAAACTATGATCTTCTTCAGAACTTGCCATTTTCAGTATGTATTGTTGTTTCAAGGGTGATTTTAAGGGGAGCAGAAAACCATGTGGAAATGCATGGCAGAAATGGTAGGCTTATACCCAAATGTCTAGATCCAGTGAGTCAGACTATAGTGTGGATGTAGCCTTAGGAGACAGGGAACATAAAGTCACCACAGAGTTGCATTATGGGATATACAGGATATATATAGAAGTGTTTTTGGAGCTTGCACATTTGACTCATATGCTGTTTATTGGTAAAATAGACTGAAATAAGCATTTGTTTTTCTTGCATCTTGCTTATCATTTTCACTATAATCAGTGCTTTTATTATTCATTTAGAAACCATTTAAAGCCGTCATATGCTGTATTATTTTTTTCTCAAAGGCGACATACAGGCTGTTTTGACCACTCTGGACCATATTTCTTTAACAAGTTTTGGGCTTCAAGGTTCATGTTTTAAATGCTTTGGTTAAATATCATCTCTGGCCTTTTTCTGTATGCAGATTTTGTGCCACCTGCCTCCAACAGTCTGTCTGACCGTGAGCCAGTCAAATCAGAACAAAGTCTGTGTATCAAACAGGCTGCTTGTTGCACTGGCTGGACACAAAGTGTTCGTCCTTCTCGGAATTTTCCCGCCTACTTCATTTCCATCTGGTAATCAACTAATGCTCTCAAATTCTGTTGCACTTCACGATGAAAAACAAACTCACAGCTTCTGATTCGGGACCTAATTTTTTGCTTTCGGAGTCGGTACAATCTGTTGCAGGTAGATTAATTTGAGCCAAACATTTCTCCTGGACTCTGCACACACACACACACTTTCCGTCCAGTCTTCACACTCACGGTAAGCAAGTTGAGCAGATCCGTGTTGGCATCGACGTTAGGCGGTGTGGTCTGGATGAGCGCCAGCTCTTGAAGGATGGCATACAGCTGCTGGGTCTTGGCCAGGTTGACCCGTGTCTTCTCTTTGTCAGCCCAGTCTGGCAGTGCCACATGCACAGCTATCAGGTCTTTCAGGTGAACGCCAAGAATGGGGAAACGGAAGCCCGAGCACTCCGAGAAGCGCTTGCGGTATTGGCTGTAGTTCCCACATGAGGTCACCAGTTCAATCAAGTTGTTGAAAACCTGTAGTTGAGCGAATGCAGGAGGATGAAATTAATTTGAGGGGAAAGGACAAATACGAGACTTGGCAGGAAAGAGGAAGCCTGTCTCAGGAGAGATTTGTGTAGAAGAATCAAAAACATTCTGTAAAACTTTCTGCACCAGATGGACTTACATAACTAAAGAGAGCCTGTAACTCCCCCAACTGTTGCGTTTAACTTTCCGGTCATGTGGCCCAAACTCATAGCTCTAAAAAGACGCTGTGTAGGAGTAATGGGCACAGATAACAAGCTTGGAAGCTCTCACAGGGGAGATGTGGATTATTGAATCAAGACTCAATATCTCTTGTTAGTTAAGTGCATCAACATGCAGTGTATGTCGTCTGGTAGTATCTGGCTGTGGGTGCCAGAAATAGATATGATGTCGATGGTAGCAGCTACTGCACCTTGTTGGTCTCTGCACTGATGTGGGTCTCCGTGTCTTTGAGACGAGAGATGGAGCTGTTGCTGAGGCCGCCCACCACCGCCATCAGTGTGTTGAAGTTCTGCAACTGCAGTAGCTTCTGTCGAGGGAGAAAGTAAAAATATTAAGAGTGAGGGTGAAAGAGGAGGTAGTTTTTGAATGTGTTAGCCAAAAACAAACTGCCCAAAAAAAGCTTCTGGGGAGAGAGAAAGAGGGAAGGTGGTGAAGGTTAAAAAAGATTTACCAGCAGTCAGAAAAATGCAGCAGTGAAAAATAAATGCCTCAGAGGGTAAAGCCAGGGACTTTAAGAGTAGATCTGGAAAGTCTGCAGTGTTCAGCAGCCTAGATGCACATCCACACATGAGCCTAATGTGAATATAGCCAGATTTTACTGAATGTTCTAACCTGTCTGTGTCAAAGTTGGCCTAACTCTTTGTGAATGGCACTCTGCAGGGCTCCACGCTGCCCTTCAGCCTGCTGGCATCTCACTGAAAATCAATGGGGTCGCAGCTGCGTGGGAGGGCTGCCAGGGGGGATCATTTGATTCAGCTCAAACACCCTTTGGAATCAATTTGCAAAGCAGCGAGAAAGGCAGCCCATCATTTGCAGAGTATAGGTTTCAGCTACAACGCACCACGCATGTGACCATCAGGGAGGTCTGGGAAGAGTTTCATTGTCAACATGCCAAGCCTAATGGCCATAGAAAAAAAAAATGCTGTGTATGCTGGCGCTGGGGGACGGGGGTTCATCCTCTTGTCAACTAATTGTTATCACAAAATTGATTGGGGGATGCGGTATGTTTTTCAAAGCCAGAGGGCACATTCACAGAGAACATAATGTGAAATGAATTGGAACTGAGCTCTGTAATGTGTAAGAAAACAGACATTTTTGCATTTTAAATTCGAACGCAAGTCTGCAGTCAAGACAAAAAAAAAAATAATGAACACGGGTCATTTGTAACGTGCTCCCAATAGGAAGCTGAAATGGGACACAACCAGCACACCCTGAGGGAAGCTTTAGGAAATGTCAAGTACATTAAGACTACCTTCTGTGCTGCCTCTAAAGACATTTGAAACCAGCTTGAACATAATTTTTGTCCCCGCATGTGCTTGCGCTCAGCTACATTTCTGAATATTAAACTTTGAGGCATTTTAAATTGGCACAGAATTAATGAGGGAATGTTTCAGCAGGGATGATCTTTCTCAAATGTGTTTGCCCAAATGCTCGCCCAGTCTGTATGAATGGCAATGTCCAAAATAACTTCTGGACATTTCATGAGTGGGAAACATTGATTGTTATTATGAAACAGTGCACAGATGCAAGCAAGATCTCCAGGCCAAAAACACAAATGGGCTTGACCAGAAAATCTGTGAAATTTTATAGAAAATTGGCCACTGGTGTAAAACAGATGCAGCCAATCGCAGCTGAGTGCAACTTAGAGAGGCTGAATGCATTAGTTACTCATACGTTACAAGATAACCCAAAGAATACTGAATAAGCACATGGATTCAGGGTGAGTTTCAGTAACAACCAGTTAACTTTTCTCATTCATTTTCAAAGCAGAAACAGGTAAAAGGGGAGGAAAACAGACAAAGATCTCTAAGGGAGAGAGAAAAATATTCTGTGGTCATAATTTATTCTTTTCTTAGATTTTTGGCCCGTGGGCTTCCATATTCATGCCTCAGCAGCAGCTCTGAGCCCAGTAATTATGGGTCAGTTCAGGTCATTGAATTGAAATGATTTAATGATAAATGCAGGTCACATATTATGTAATGCTATGGATGTGTTAAGTTTTGTCGATGCGGACAAATGCAGATTGGCAAACTGGATCCTGGATCGATGTATGACCCTATTAGTAAAATGATTTCTTTTTCATGTTTTATTTTGTCACGGCACATTTTTTGCAGATCATATGAACAGGCTTCTGTACACAATTGTTGATCCTTCAAAATTACCCAGTTAAAAATTTTTAAAAAATACCACTCGCTAAAAGGTTTAATTTTAGTTAACCATTTTACTTATTAAATCACTTTAGTCCATTTATCAAGGTACACAGGGAATCATTTTATTGTTAAAAAATAATAATAAATAAAGATTTGCACAAATAAATAACAATAAATAAAACCCTGAAGCCAATAGAGGCCGTGGTTAAGGTTCTGAGTGGCTAAACTTAGATTTTGAAGCCCATATTAAGCACATTTAAAAGTCCATGATTGTATTTTTGGTGTCTATTAGAATATGTTTACATGCTTTAACGTACAAAAAACACAGAATTCTTCTTCCAGGCTTACAGCATCTAGCCTTAATGGCTCAATCTTTATTTGAGGGCATGCCAAACAAGCCACGAGGCAGGAATTATGCAAATGTGTCACATGGTGATGTAATAAGTAACAGAGGAAAAGCCTGGACTTCAAATGAGCCATTCCAGGCAGGTAAGGAGCAGTGTTTTCTGTGGGAGAGCGTAACTCCTTTTGGAAGTTTGGCTATGTAAGTTTGTAGACTTTTACACACAGAACAAAGCTTAAACACACTGAAAGAATGTGGAAACACTCAAAGATGCTTTAATAAAAATGGCAGCACAGATTTGGTGAGCTCACTATTCGTTTCTTCGCTCTCCTTAATACAACCGTGGAAAAATCTTTGCCGAAGCAGGTTGGCTGTGCGGCACAGGTTACCATGGTTATCTACTCTCGCTAAAAGTGGGTCCATGACGCAGGAAAAGCTAAGTTAAGCCCTAATGGAGCGTGCTATCAGACAGACCCCACTGGATCACTGAAATTACTGATTGGAATCTTCCTCGGTTGTATTACAAACTGTATTTTGGTGCAGCAGTTGAGGGGGGAAAACAGGAAAACGAAAGAGGAACATACATGAAAGATGGTTTGTGATTTTGGAGAAGCATGTGTCAGAATGTTAAAGTGAAACTGTGTTGCCATAGCTTTGCACCTGCTGAAAAATAGCAGTCTGCCAAATGAGCAAGTCAGCACCAATTGGAAGTTCATTGTAACTCAGAATGTCGCTTTTTTTTTTTTTTTTTTAGATATTCTACTGAAAATCAAACTATCAGACAAACTGAAACTCTGCTCACGGCATCTGGGCATTATCAAATGTGTTACAACTGATCCCGAGGGGAACATGTATATCAAATTACCTAACAATCCATTAAACAGTTGGACAGATATTTCACTCAAACCCACAAAGGTCATTGTGCCGTCACCAAAACAAATGTCACCACAGCAAATTATAATTCGTCCAACAATCAATATCAGCATCTGTCCTCCCGTCTGCGGTGTCAGAGCTTTGCAAAACACTGGAACGAGTCCAAGTGTTGAGTATCAATGAACAGTCGTGTTTTTGAAACACTTAGGACAAGAGCCCTGGTGAGGTGTTAGAGCGCCGGCGTCCTCCGATAGAGCGAGGTGAGGAAACCTGCCGAGACCCTGCTAGATAAATAATGAGCGACTGGCGTCTGCTCTGCGGATAAAGATGAAATGAATGGAGAACGGGAGCAGACCAAGACGTCTCGTAATGATGAAAACAATCTCAAAGTAATGAGGGTGCATTCGCAGAGCACTGCAGGCTGTTAAGATGAAAATTTTTTCTCCCGCACTTTCTACGGTTGACTGAAGCTTCCTCGCACAGTGGAGATGAGTGAATTGTCGCATAGAGGGAAATCTCAGCCCATCTGGCAGACCAAAGCAAATGATAACATCAAGCTGAAATGATATCAATTACAGGGAAGCTCAGGACGCCATTTAGAGGGATGTTTGTGTCGTGAGAGAATGGCGGTCTCCGCACATATGGTCACAGAGCCATATGAGGCAGGCAGCTAGCTGGCAGGTTTAGGAGTTTGTGGAAGAGACAAGATTAAGTTAAGATTAGGATTAGAGTCATCTTGACCGTTAGATGACCATAGATGATTACAGTCAAAGTGTAGGCTGTGGAAATACTGGACCATCTACCTTCAATTTAGGCTGACTGTGTGCTGCATCAGGCGTTATTATAGATACATGGTGGGAAATCTTTGCAGTGGCATCAGGCCAATGTGCAAAAAGAAAGCAGTCAATACAGGATGAATCTTAGTCAGGGCGAGAAACAATGCATATTTTCATTATTGATTCATTTGCTGATTCAATTAATGACTGTGAAAGTAAAAACTAATACATTCTTCCTCCCACGCTAGACAACAATGAACCTCGTAAACTTCACCTTCCCAGAGCTGCTACCGTGGCTGTAGCCTCGTTCCACCATCTGCGCTGTTTCTAGATGACTGACAACTTCTGTCGATGCTTACATTCTTCAGTTTCACTGCAAGTTTCAGTTCCCTCAGCTTACTTTTACTTCAGTGCAACCTAAACTCTCCTGCTTTCTGTGCTCACTTACACTGTATTTTAAGTTGTTCTTACTGACATAGTGTTATGTTTCTGTTTTCATACAATGGAGAGAGTATGAAATAGTGACTGAAACACATCGAATTAAGATTATACGTTAACCAGAAGTCATTTCCAAGCTGCTGCTCTGCACTGTGAGAACACAGATCTCATAACTGCAACGTTTTCTGTCAGTCATCATCCGCATAAGTCACAGACAACTTATGCGCTGTGAATTCTGTGATTGGTCGACATAAAATGACCACTTAGACAACACAAGTCAGAAGTGTGTGCTGTTTTGCTCCACACTGTTAATCACAGAGATAGTTTTCTTCCTGAAGGCGGTGTGGTCAGCATCAGCTCGGCTGCAGTTAAAGCTACTGAAACAATCTGTACCTTTTACCAATGAACCACCTTCGCAGAAACAAATTCTGGGGACATGTGAGACTCTAATTAATTTGTTGAAAAGGGGCACAATAGAGGACCTTTGATGTGAGCAGCTCGCCTCTTTTTTTTTTCTTTTTTTTTGTCCTTGCACATTCTTTGTACTACTTGATAGCAGCCTTGTGTTTTTGCAAGATGGTGTCCTTGTGTATTCTGTAACCACTTACTGGTTACTGGGTTTCTTTGTGTACTCTGTAATTGCTTGGTAGTGGTTACTCTTTGTCTTTGTAGCCAGTTAAAAGTAGAGCCTTGTGATTTTTTGTTGTACTGAAGCTCTCGTTCCACTGCCTGGAAGCTGCCGGGCTCAGCTGATTTCACACACCTGCTCACACTTCTTAGTTCGCTGCACTAGTTTGTGTTGGGAGTTTAGTTGTTTTCATTCACAGTTTATTTAGCAAGTCAGAGCACTGTTAGTCTTTTTTTTATTTATTTGTTTCACTTATTCAACCACATCCACAGGTCCTGATTTTCTTTGCGGTTTTGCATCGTTTGCTAATTACATTACTAAGACCTAAAAAAAAAAAAAAAAATCTGGTTTCATGCTGGTTCCCTGTACTGTTTCCAGTTCCCAATTTGTAGGATGCACTGCTGAACTCTTTCCAGCCCAACTAGAGGTGGACTTAAGCCAGCTGCATATGGGATTGGTGAAGCAATTTGTTGTTCTTTTTATGTGCAAAGCGAAATAAACTTGTGAGTCATGTGATGAAAACTTAAGAGGTATGTGACGCAGAGTTAGGCTGAAAAGGGGAAAAAAATAGAGAAAAACATAGACCTCTCACATTTTACAGCCTTCACTGTCAAAGTCATGCTTTGGACCAACTTAACTATGACACATTTTGGTGGGTGACTGTGTTGAACTGTTCCAAATGAAATCAAATTTTACTTCTTTACACACCCTTGAGCCCCAAAAAAACCCTTTGGATAATGATAAAACTGCATCATCATCCAGCTAAACAATCCTGTTTTTTCCAAGAGATGCAAGGTTTTCCCTGGACGGCAGTATTATCTTAAAGAGCTCTCGGTAGGCATCTTAACATGCTAATACCGCCAAAGCCTTTTTAAATTAAATTTTTCCTTTCTCTCGCAATTTGTGCCACCTAATGGGAAATCATGGCATCTAAAGTGTGTGTGTAGAAGACATCTAAGCTCCACAGTGACTTATCCACTTCCCTCGATATCTCTTGGTTTTCATTGTCATTTCTAATTCACCTCTCTTTGTAATTTCTCTTCTTTCTCTCTGGTCCCAAGCGATCACCTTCTATTATTCTGCTCGTCTACGCACCCCCGAACCCCTACAACTTTGCCAAACCCAGTCTTAATAGTCCCAGCAGACAGACCTGTGCCACTCTGATGAAATGGGAGATGACAGCGGCTCTCTGCGGGGCGGTGGGCTTGCTGAGCACCATAAGCTGGATCCACTGGGAGACGCTATTAAAGAGTGTGATGAAGCGTTCCAGGATGGGGTTATCCACCGTGCAGCCGTGCATCACAAAACTGTGGTAGTCCTGAAACTAAAAAGGAGAAGTGGAGCATTGAAAAGTCTCATTTACTAAAAATAAAACTACAGCATCTTCACATCAGGTTGTTGTTTTATGAAGTCCAACAATCACATCCTCAGCGGGTTGTTATTCTGGATATGATGCTCAAAAATGTATACTCAACAGCATTTCTTTGGCAGGGTACAGCTAACATTGCATGGCATCCTGGGAAATGTAGGATCCTGATTATTTCAAGCTATCTGGCTTCGATTTTGCTAATTCTATACTTTCAATGTGTTTTTAATCTATGAACCAGCTTTATGGAGGAACATCATTAGATCACCGAAGGCCCCTTTAAAGACATAGTTTAATATTTTGAAGAAGATTCCTGTTTGGTTTCCTACAAATGAGATGATGGAGGCTGCTCTAATGTCTGGAGGCAGCACATGATTAGCTTAGCTTAGCATAAAAGTGTCAAACGTGTGAAAACAGCTGGTTTGTTTCACCCAAAGATAACACCTAGAGTATAAAGCTGACAAATTATTATTATTATTGTTATAATTATCTTACATCCGGCTGAAGAAACACATTTGTTTTTATTTACTTATGCTTCATTTTATCTAGTCTAAATGCCAAAATCTGTCTTTTGCCAATGCTTTTTTATTTCTGTTGTTTCATTTTGAGCCAGAATCTCTTTTCTAAAAAGCACAAAGACAAAGCCAAGAGAAATTCCACAGCCCCTGCCCTTAACATGCCAACAGCACCCCCACACAGGAACAAATGATCCAAAAAAAAAAAGTCTTCTCGCATTTAAATCTGTACACACCCAATAATTGCTTTTGCAAAATAACACTCAAAGAGAAAAATGTTTCCAGACCACAAATATAATTAATGCCTAGTGTAAGTTGATTTTAACCGCTCTTGCTTAGCAACTACGATGAGCCTGAGGTATGTAAACAAGGAATTACTTGAGAATTTCAAGAATTCAAGAAACGTAAATATCAAACTGGGCTGCGGTCAAACTGACCAGGATCTTGCAGAAGGATTTGTACTCTAGGTAGGTGAGGTGTTCGGCCAGTTCGCAAGAATCGAGGTGGTCGAAGAGCAGGGACATCTTCCTCTTTTTGGACACGGACGGGACACGCTGAGTCACCTGCCGCTTCCATTTATAGGATGGCCTGAGAGGGACGAAAACATTTTTTTTTGTCAGTCGTTTGGAACAACACCGTAAAAGATTATACGAGGATCAGCTTTACAGCCACTGCAGCAGTCAGAACTGCACTTAAAGTGGTGTTCAAGGCATTGCATTGGGTCCACTATAATAAAATACAACAAACACTGTAAAATCTGAAATATATTAGCAAACTACTACTTTGCAAATACTCAGTTATAGCAAGCTTCATAAATATGACCTCTTATGGAGCTCTACGGGGAAGATCGGGTCACACTGGAATGGCTTTTATGAGCAAAGGGAAAGTCACTGACCCTGCGTTGCACAGCTCAGCAATGCCAAATAACAGGCAATCAAAGGGCAAGCTGGCATAAACACCCAGAGACAGACATTCATTCACACTGTCAACAGCACACGCAGCATTCAGCGGCCTGTTCACTCACACACTGTCGAGGTCAATGAGCTGACTCTGGCGCTCATTGCCCTCGGTGGTCAAGAGGTCTTTATAGTCTTTGATCTGGTCTGCCAGCTCCGGGTTCAGATTGAACTCTGCGGGAAACTCAGAAATCCAGTACCTGGAGGCCAGAACAAAGGCAGAGAGAGAGAGATGATGATGCCATGTGCTGAGAGAACTGGAGGAAAATAGACTTGTTTACATCTACACGTAATTGCCGATGCTTTTCCTTAATTTAGCTGTTTGCTTGATGATAAAATGTATGTTTTTCAGCAAATATAGCTCTGAAATCAACCGATAAATCAAATGCAGACGAATGAAAAGGAGAAGAAAGCGAGTAAGCGATGCCAGGTGGACAGATCAAAGATCAAAAACGAGAAGCACTGAATGAGATTAAAGCCAGACGTACAAGATAGTTTATTACCTCATAAGGTGGCATATTTTTGTTCGGCGCTCGGCAGTGCAGCTCTCATCTTGAGATCTGATCAACCAAGTCAAGGTGCAAATTTTCATAGAATTTGTAACTGTTCCCTCTAAAATCTCGTCAGGATTTAAAAGGTGTAGAAGAACAAAAAAAAACGATTAACACTAGACTTGATGTTCTTCTTCAAGGTCCACTTCCGAAGCCCTAAAAAAAAAAGACCTGGCTTTGATTCTATCGCTATGTAGAAGGATAATATCCATAAGCAAACACTGAAAAACATAAAAGATGATAGCAGAATCCAAAGGTGAAGGATACTTAAGCACAAGCTTCTTAGCCATGTCAGTTGAAGGAATATACCAAGGATGCATCATGAGGAACATGCGCACCAGGGGAGTATCCTTCAAAGTGCCCTTCTCATCTATGAAAACCACAAAAGGATGTCACAGTGCGAGCGTCATCTGCTTTCACTCGGTGAATATCTACGTTGGGTCGCCAAGGCCACCAACATGTACAACAATATACATTTATGCAAGAGATTTTTTTTTTTTTTTTTCTAAAGTCACTGACATAACATACATGAATATAGTAGAAAATATAAACTCACACACTTTACTTTTAGGGACTCACTTTAACATCAAATGAAAAGAAACAACACTTTATAAGAACCAACCGAAGGCCTGGATGCATGCTTCCACCAGCTCGTCCACCGTGGCAGATTGTTCTGATGATATGGACTCCATTGTTCCCTTCCTCTCTGTTTATCCCCTCGTTTCCCTCTCCGCGGTCTGACTCGCGTGCCTCTTGCTGCACACACACACACACACACACAAAAAGATGAAAAGACAAGAAGTTTATTAAGAGTAATTACGAAGAAAAGAGTGAGGAAACACATTTCACAGTGGGCGTTGCTGTGTTTTTGAAATAGCTGTGTGGTTTGGTGTTTTGCATCTTTTCTCAACACAACAATGAGTAAGATAATCAGTAGCTGCTTACACCACATTTAGGGCTTGGTGTTGTCAGTAATTAGAATATGTGCCTGTCAAAGTCGTCTCCTACACTGATATGATGGTTTGTGTTGACCCAAAGGCGGCCGAGGTGTCAGCATGCAAAATCTGCATTGAGACTTAAGAGGCATATTTTAATTGGTGCAGCTTTCAGTGGAGAGTTAAGGGTCGAAAATGTTACGGTTACCTGTAACAAAAAAAAATAACTGTTGAGGACAGTGGATGTGTGTTGGATAGAATAACCCTACACCACTTCAGATCCAAATATCTGATCAAAGAATAAACAAGATCTTACAAAGCATCCAATGTGATCTTACAGTAATGTAACAAAAACACCATGAAAGGAAGGTTCTTGAAAAGCATTAAGCTTATTTCTACCTCGTTAGATTTTGGACGGGAACTTTCTCAAGTACATTTATTTGACAGGTACGGTCACTATTTTGCAAATAAAGACTTTAAAACATATCAGTTAATAATCCTTTGCCAGTGGTTAAACTACCCCGGCACCACCTTTCCTGTTACTGTTAACTGGTTTCTTCAATACATTACTGGACAGTTCATCCTAAAATACTAAAAGAATATTGGTAAGTGATATCAGATTATTTTTCAGGCTCTTATTTTTACATGGTTGTATCAGTCATTTTACTTACTGTAGGTAAAGAATCCCAAAACTTCCTTTAAAAGTTTTTTAAAAATATTAAAAATAAATACCATCCAAGGTGTTTCAGTTCAAGTGATATCATATTGGTCTTCGAACTAAAATGTAACTTACATTTAAACATCCAGTCCTGCTTTGTGACTGTGAACTCTGCAGCCAGACATGGTAAAAATGTTGCAACGATACAATTTTTGTCTTGTCAGAGAGACTAATACAAAAGCCACAAGCACAATGGCCAGGAAACCACAATTTATCTGCCAATGACATGCATAAGTACAGGCTGTGGCGCGCAACATACAGTAAGCAGCAGAGTTGAGTGCACCCTTATGCAACATCACTTAAATGTCAAATGCTTGTATCGACTTATAGTAAGTGCATCATATTTAGAACAGCGTGGTGCTGTCTCTTCTGTGAAATAAAAAGAGTTTAGATTTGCTACATTGAATAATAAAGAGCATATAGCATAGCAGAGCATAGCATAGTATGAGATTTGATGAAGAATTAATTCATATCGATGATACCAAGTTTCTGAAGAGACGTTATTGTTCAGAGACTATTTTTTCTTGTTGTTGCTGGAGGGATTGTATTGCTCGGCCTTTCTCTTTAAAATACCCTAAAGATGTTCTATTGGATTTAAGTCGTGACCTCTAGTTTTCACTTTTTTTTCAGCTTTAGAAACTCCTGTAACTTTGGCACTGTGCTTGGGATTGTTATCATGCTGGAATATTCGTCTTCTGCTCGAGAGTGGGCGTCATCTTGTCAGCCAGTTGTCATATATCCGCAGGCATTCGTGGCACTATCTATAAATGTTGTGTCCCTGACAACGTTTGCACTCATGCTGCCCCATGTCATCACACTCCCACCTTGGTGCTTCACTGTCAGGACTATGCATGTGTGGTAGTCCTGGACAGATTCATGCAAATCAGGCCCCATCTGAGCTGAACAAGCTTTTCTTGGTTTCACCTGCTTTACACGTTATTTAGCAAAGTTTCATCTTCATCCAAGCAGCAAACAAGGGTTGTGTTTTCTTTTTCTTTTTTTTGGACTCCATCCATAGAGGTTGTCATTATCCAGCGTCCTTCACAGTACCTGAGCTGTCACAGAGACTCTTATTTCCAGTGATAACTCCTGTGCCGAGTCTGAAGCACATTCACGTCTGCTTGTCAGAGCTCCATTGTGCAAACCGCACACTCTCTATGGTGTTATTTAAGGAGGATGACCACAGGGGTTCTGATTAGTGGTACTACGGCTCCTTCTATACCTCCTCATTACTGCTGCACCTGTGTTTCCATTGATTTAGTTGCTCACTGATCTTCCTGTATCCTTTTCCATCTTGTGAAGTCTCTCAAACAGATGTTTCTGTTACTTTGGTCATTCATTAGGGGGTCATAATGCAGACATGCAGACAGAAGACGGAGAAATGTCTGGTGTTTACAGGATATTTTTTGACCATATTCATGCAGTTAGGCTCATTGGAAATCACAGGTGTACTCAGTTTTGTTTCAGTGATCCCTAGTTTTCTAATTTGGGTGTCAGCGATCAAGGGTGTATTCACATTTTCTACGTGGGGCCTGTATTTTCAATATAGCGTCTCTAAAGAATTTGTTTTAGATTGTTTATAAGAGGAAATACTTGACTTGTCAGCTTAGAAATAACACAACAATTGAGAGGTAATGCGATTTCAAAACATTTGACATTTACATGGTCTATGCAGAAAGAAATGTATACCGATTTAGTAAGTCCTCGCAGCTGGGAACCATGGCAACCACTGCCTAAAGTCCAGTCACACTTTCACAACGTATACGCACACCTCTACACACAGCACAAAGGACATGTTTACCCACAGAGGTATGGTTTAGGAGTAAATAAAAAAAGCCTGAGAAAAAGTTTTAGATTTCTCGCAGTAATCTTAGATGTGTCTGAGGTAGTACAATGCAGTAATCTTATCTGCCATAAAGGTTAATCTGTGGGTAAAATGAGAGATAAAAGAAAACGATTACATATTTTGGTTTCTTGCTGATAAGCGTGAAGGTAACTCTGAGGGTACGCGTGACAGAGTTAAGTCACAAAATCCACAACAGCACACCACCCGGCTGCATCTTCGTACTAATGGCTTTTCTAGTGTTGTGGTTCTGTGAGTGCGAGAAGGGTGTGATGAGTATGTGTATTTATCTATTGTGCCTGACACAATGAAGCCTTTCACTGCACTGTCTCTGCTGCAACACGGTGGGTGGACACACTCAATTACAGGCTTCACGAGCTGTCTCAGCCACACTCATTTCTGCAGGGACGGAGGGGGGGGGAAAGAAAACACAGCAGAGAAAGAGAGGGAAGTATAATCCTCGAGCTCCAATCATCATTCATCATAATGCGAGACAGTGAGAGTGAGTGAAAACCACTGTGATGATGAGCAGGCAAGATTAAAACAGTGAACTTCAAATCTGTGTCTTTATGGTTAGATAACGGAGAGATTAAGTGTAAAGAAGTGATGGCCAACAATCAGAAATCATGCTCCGCTGCTATAAATAGACATGAAAGTTCCTCGGTAGGATGCTAAGGTCACCACAGGAAATAAGTCTGCAATGCTGACAAGTTTTCGAAGCAACGTTGAAACCTCAGAGGGTTGAGACACCTCGCTCTGAAATAGTATGTTTTATATTCCAACTGTACAGACACTCCCTGAACAGAGAGTACTGCTCACGTCTCATAAACATAGAAAGAAGGAAAGTGGCCTTTGAGTCCATCATTGCAGCCCAACAGGAGTTTCATTTTTAGCTACATTGTTCGCAATGATGGTCTTTTAAATGGGAGCAGAGATGGTCTTTTCAGTGGCAAAAAGGGCATCTGTTCCACTTCTGCATTTTGACTGTTCATATCAGAACAACCGAAAGAAGAACTACTTTCTCCACAGATGCAGGGGGCCTGCTGTATACATCCCTTAGAGGCTGCAACAATGAACATAAAAAGGAAGGCAGGGGGATTTTCCAGCGCCACCAATGCGACGACCGAGTCTGATTTTAACTGGGTCTCCTCTGGCACAGGCTGTGCCCGTCTTGACGATGCTATCTTGCCATTCCATTCGAATACACCATTCATCATCCCTCTGACAGGAGCCCTTTGTGGCAACCCAGGGAACAGTTCTCCCTGCGCTTTTTCAGGAGAACTCAGAGGCCGATTTATCCTGAACAAGCTCCCGCCTTCTGTCTCTTTAGCTATTCTATAAGTATTTTCTCCGCAGTGTCATTTCTGATGCCGCTCCTATAGCTGTGAATCAGTGGATTGATTGTTAAGTAGGACACACTGGGAGAGCTTTGGTGTCATCCTTGGTTGCCTGGTGACGACGACCCAGGGCCATCGATCAGCCAGATTAGGGGGTGGGATGGGGGCGCAGCGGGGATAAAGGGAAGTTGACGGGTGACTGGTCAATCCTGGCCATGCAGAATCTGCAGTGCGCTGCTGGTTTGCTGGGCAGTGGAAATGTCAAAAGCTCTGGCTGGACGCAGACAGTCACCTTCAAACTGCTGTCCTTCTCATTTCCACCACTACAGCCACAAAACAATAGAAAATCTGTCCACCACATATCACACTCTCATATGGGAAACATAGAAACCAGTGAATCATTATCCTAAATAATAGTGTTTTTTAATCTATCAAGGAGAGCACCTTTAATTTGTTTTTATTATTATTATTATTATTATTATTTTGTATTCACTACTTGGTCTTAGCCCAAAAAATGACAGATGTGTCATTTTCAAATTGTTGTATTATGGAGGAATAAAAAAGCAGACAGGGATAAAAATCTGAGAAAACCAGCAAATTTTCTCTTTTGACAGGCTCAAAGATCTTTTTTTTTTTACCTGATAAATGCATTATTGTGAAATCCTACTTTGTCTAATAATAAAATATCAATTTTCTGTGTATATGCCCTTTAAAATAGAATCAAACAGTATGTGTAGGCCTATAAATCGTCATTGCATTTTCGTGTCTAAAAATTGATACTACCGCTGATTGATTCTAAGTAACTGGCAAACACACAGACAATGATATCCATCCTTTTATTGATATTTTCATAATGGCCTCATCCCCATGCTCGTAAATACCCCATGCTAATGCACACTCTCCATACAGCCATTGATTTAGCT